GGTGGTGGTGGCGGGAATTGCTGTTTGGCAAGCAAATGGGGGCGGGGTGGATGAAGGGGAGGAGCTGACGACAGCCCGAAGGGCAAAGTCTGCTCTCAAAGCCCCAGAATAAACTTTAGCATGGTAATCAGCACAGACGGCTAGTGGTCTTCCGTACAAAGCGGCTAAGGTCTGAAGCCTTCCCAAACCAGCAGCGCCCTCGGTCCAGCGCAGAACCCGCAGCCGGCCTCCGCACAGCCTCTGCTCCACTGCGTTCCACCAGAATTGCCTTGGAGGCCTCGACTATCCGAGCGACGCCGCTGCCCCACGAGGCGTATCTGTGTTTGTCCACTGCGCGGCTCGGCAGCCGGTCCTCCCGCAGGTCAGAGTTGACCAGGGCGGCCTCAAGGGCTTTAGACCACAGAGAATGAGCACTATCCTCCGCGGCGGGGGCGTGGCTCGCGTGGAGGCCCCACCCAGCCTTCCCCATTGGCTGAGGCTGCCAGGGGCGGAGTCAGAGCGCACCTTTCCCGGCCTCCGCGGCTCCGCCCCAACGCAGGTCTATGGGGAGGCGCTGCCCGGCCGGGTGAGGAGCCGGGGCCAGCGCACAGGAAGCCCCGTCCGGGGTCATGGGGGGACAGGTGAGGTTGCCGCCCGGACAGCCTTGTCGGGAAGGTGAGTGTCTGTCCCGAGCCGAGGGACCTGGCGACTGGGAGGCGACTAGACCTGGGTGGGCGGTCCCGGGGACTAGGCAGGGCGATAAGACTGTAATCGCAGTCGTGCTTCTAATAATTCATTCAATCGTTTGTTCGTTCGCTCAGTCGGCAGTCCAGCCAGTGGGTCAGCAGGGACGTGCGGGTGTCCAGGACATTCCGGACTCTGCGGGGATGCCTGACTGGAGCCAAGCAGATGTGACTGTCCCTCGGTCCGCGCGGCCGGCGGGTGTACGTTACGTGGGATTCCTGCGTGCGGAGTGTTAGACCAGGAAATCGGGATGCGATGGTTAGACTGACTCCCAGGTCCCTGTGACGAGGCCATTTCCTCTGACTCAGCCCACTCTGGAGTCCGCGCCCGGCCGGCTCGCCCAGTGGGCGGAGGGTGCGCCGGGGACCCCGCGGAGTTGGGCTCTGCGCCGGGCGCAGGCGGCTGGACCAGGGGACGCGGCGAGGGGCGGGCGCCCCGGGCCGCCGGGAGGGCGCCGGGCGGGGCGGGGCCGCCCACGCCCCTCCTTGGGCGGAGGACACCCCAACCCCACCAGCCTGTCTGACTCGCTGTGCTGTAGCTTCTTGCTGTTTACCGCGAGGGCCCTTCTGGAAGGGAAACCGGGAGCTGGGCGCACCGGCGTGTAGGTTCTGATCGCTGCGGCTGGACTGGGCTGGTGTTTCTGGGCCCGCTCAGGAGCCCCGCGAGATCGCTGTGCAGGGCCCTGCGTCCCTCGCCAGGGGCTCCCGGTACAGAGGGGCTCCGCACAGTCAGCTCCCAAGGCGCCCGCGAGCGGGGTGTCAGGGAGGAAGGGGGTGTATCAGTTGAAATGATCAAGAAGAAAGCAGGTTTTTCACTTCCCTGGTAATGAGAGAAAGAGGGCCACGAGCGCCAGGTGGGAGCGCCGGGTGGGAGCCGCTGTCTCTCTGTATAATCTTTACAAAGCTGCTGGCAACGTTTCCGGTCGTCTCCCCTCTGGGCTTTGGCGGTTTGATTCCCTGAGAGAGTCAGTAGAGAGGTCAGCGAACTCTTCAAAACTGTGCCCTCGAGAGAGAGAAGGGACACGCAAAACGAGGAATGCCTGAACAATTCACAACTATTCCCATGATTTCCTAGACCGTCGGATTATGTGCCCTGTTTTCTAAATAATTTTTAAACCACTAAATCAAACTGTTACCAATACACTCGCCCTTGCTTACCTAAGGATCTGTAAGTACGGAGGGTGTGTGAGTAACTTACCCCCACTTGTTTGAACTTCCGGATGTTTCTCCTGCTCTGCTTATGCAATTATTTCCAAGAAATATTCAAGCTCAGGTCATAATGCCCCTGATTAATTGGTAATGGTGTGCAAAGCTGATGAGAAAGACTTAGAAATCAGAATCCTTATTATCAGTAGTGGGACGAGATCAGACTTTGACAACAGACAATCTCCTCACCTGGACGCTAAGGACACTTAGCGTCCTTAAGCCTTTCTTCATCTATAAAATGAGAATAATTCCTACACTTTACCGTTGTGAGGAAGTTGGTGCAGGTGAAAATACATATAAGGCACACAGTTCAGAGCCCGACAGGCAGTAAACAAGAGCTAATTTTTTTCATTTGTTTATTCATTCAAATAATGAGTCCCAGGTGCCCACCACTAGCCTAAGTGCTAGAGGTATTTGCAAGACAATCTACTCCTAAACTCCAGGACTAAGTCCTTGCTCTTGGGTAGCTTACTATTCAGATGGCAAATAATGTGTAAGAAATAAATTTAAAAGGTCATTACAATAGTGGTAAATGTCATAGATAAATATTGAGAGTGTTGGGGATGTTTAGATTCAGAGACAACCCCTTAG